GTGTGTGCGTGCATGCGGGGGGGGGGGGGTGCGTGCGTGCCAGCGTCCACACCATAGCACTTCCAGCGTAGCTCTCGGGAGATCTCTGGAGGTAGTCCCGATTTAAATTCATTTTAGGTGGGGTTATTCTGAATGAGCCCGCAAATGCAGTTACATGGGGCCTAAAACCCAAACAAGAATCACCCTGGTGCAGGGTCAAGGTGGTACTTGAAAGTCACATGCTTCAAAGGCAGATGTTCATCATGACAAAATGAGCTATTCTGAAACCTTAAGCAGTTTCATTAGAAGCACCTTAATACAGCCAATAATTCAGTTTGCAAACTTTAAAGAAGCCTCCTTAAAAAACACAGGAGGTCACGTGTTCTATAACTTTTCCCCCTGCGGGCTTCACCCGCGCTGCTGAGCAGGTATTTACGGCAGCTACAGGGAAGGGCGCCGGCTTCCAAACCAGCTGGTCCTGAGTGAGGCCTCACACACCACACTGCCATTGCTGACCACGTCCTTCTCAGGGCCGAAGGGCCTAGAAAAGGCAAACTGCTCTCAGCGGACACTCAGAACTGCTGTCCGACGGCCACTGGGACTTCTCTTCCACCCCACCCCGCCCAGCCCCAGAATCCTAGGACAAAGAGCAGAAAGCAAGTCAGGAATCAATTAGGAAAAAGCAGTTTCTCCTTCCCGTGCTTCATCAGAATTCACTGATTTTCTGCAAGTCTGTGGAAGATCAGCGAGGACTGCCAGATCACAGTTTGGGGAAATACAAACCATATTCTAATCCACGTGTCAGAAAAATCAGCGGAGGCTGGGCAGCCCAGACGCAGGTCCCTCCAAGGCCTTCGTTCCTCAGCGCCCGTTCCCTCTGCCTGACATCCTGACATCCTTGACATCCTGACTTTTGAGTTCCTTCTGCCCCACGCTGCTTGGGGTTTTTTTTGAAATTTTGAATTTTATTTATTTTTTATACAGCAGGTTCTTCTTAGTTATCTATTTACACATATGAGTGGATACATGTCGATCCCAATCTCCCAATTCATCCACCACCACCCCCCCGACCACTTTCCCCGCTTGGTGTCCATACGTTTGTCCTCTACATCTGTGTCTCTATTTCTACTGCTCTTGTTTTTATAGTTACGTTTTCTCCTGGACTAAAACGCTTAAGAACTTGTTATTCAGTCTTTTTATCTCCAACAGCGCTTTGCACCCTGCAGACAGGTAAACACTTAATAAGTTGGTTTGGTTCCAACGTATCATCCGACCTGTTATGGGTTGGATTGTGACCCCTGAAATTCATATGTTCAAGCCCTAGGCCCCAGGGCTGCTGAACCGTGATCTTATTTGGAAACAAGGTCATTGCCGATGTAATCAGTTGAGGTCATACTGGGGGAGGGAGGCCCTAATCCAATGACTGGTGTCCTTATAAAACGGAAGTTTGGACACAGAAGAGACCCCAGGAGACGCCATGGGAAGACTGGACTTGAGCTGCCCCAAGCCAGGAACCTCGAGAGGCCTCCGGGAGGCCGGGACAGACCCTCCCCACCCCTGCAGAGGGGCGGCCCTGCCCACGCCGCCATCCGGGACTTGTGTCCCCAGGGTGTGAGAGAATGGAGTTCTGTGTTTAAGTGCCTGGTCTGTGGTACTTTGTTACAGCAACCCTAGGAAGCTAAAACACAGCCAACAGCTTAAACCAGTCTGAACACACACGCACACTCAGGGCATCTAGCAGGGCCAGAGGGCAGCACCTGATTTATGCATTGCACAAACACTGACGGATGGAGTGTCTCCTGCGCAGCATTTTATGGGTTACGGTGTGCTCTGTTATCCTGGGCAAAGAGAGAGAGAACCAGGTTCCTTGAGTGTTTCGTGGTGAACCAAGAAACTTCATCTGCTGCGGTTACACGTAAAATTAAAGCAGCCTTGGGAATTCCCTGGCCGTCCAGTGGCTGGGACTCGGCTCTTTCACCGCCATGGGCCGGGGTTCAGTCCCTGGTCGGGGAACTAAGATCCCACAAGCCACGTGGGGTGGCCGATAACTGACTGACTGACTAACTAACTAAATCAAGCAGCCTTTCGTGACTTCCATCATCTGAATGTGTCTTCCTAGTCTTAAGGAATTTGCAGAGGATGGAACATGATGGCCCCTCAAGTTCACCCCCTCTGACGAAGTAGCCCAGGGACGTTTAAAGTGTTAACTCAGGAGCTCAGTGCTCACAAGCCTCCCCGGAGTCTCCAGCCTTCGTGTGTTTCTCATCACGGGAGGAATGACGGAAGCAAACAGCGTGGGCAGGTCAGCAAAACATCCTGGCCACTACTAGACAAAATCAAAGCAGCGGAGCCTCATACACGAAGATTCAGGAGACCTTGTAACACCCATTTTTCTCTCCCCTACGGCAGAGAATGTATCAGAACACAGCGTTGGCGATAACTCAATGTGTCTCTTTCCACAAGCCCCTCTCGTCCCTGGCTGACCTTCCACCTAAAGAAAAGCAGGCTGCGCGAGGGGAACCTCAACAGAAGCACGAGGGGAACCTCAACAGACGCTTTTTAAAATGAGCAGAACAATCTGAACTGAAACGAACCTGCCCTTCATTCTTCACCCTCTTTGCTGGCCCTAAAACAGAACAAACCAACAGAATGCATGAAACACACTACGACATGTTTTCTTAATAAAAGGCACATGGGAAACCCAAGCCACCTCGACACTTTTCTCCATTCTGCACTATGCTATCCCCGGCCTAATGGATCGTGTTACATTTTGTGAATTTGCAAAAGTTAAGATGCAGGCTGCTTACATCCTGTTAATCAGTCTTCTGTGCGTTCAGTCTTCTGTGCGTTCACGTAGCAAACTGGGGTCAAGTTAAGAGCCTTTCAATTCCATGTGAATACTCGGTGAAGTTCCCAAATGTTCCTTTTTAAGGAAAAACGTCCTCAGACTAACATTCCCACATTCGGTGAAGGCTGTTCAGCGTGTGTGCTCTCTGGCAGACGTCATTCGGTGTGCACGCAGACATCGGAAAGTTCAACTAAATAACTCTTCTTGGGAAATGGAAAATGCTCCTGACATTTCTAAAACCCAGGGTTTCCAGAGGTGGAGAATGGCTAACAGTTTACTGCCCAAACCTACATTCATACCACAGAGAATTGGTAGCTCTGTCTCTAATTTGCTACTTTGACGTTGAACTTTCACTGTGACTGTGTCCCTCTAAACAAACCAGTTGGGGCCCGGGGGGAATAAAAGGGTAGTTACGCTATAAGAAGTTTCAAATGACCACAGTTTTAGAACATGTTGGGTTGTTTCAGTTTGGCTTCTGCAAATTAAACATGTTAATCATTCCTCTCTTTGTTGTTTCCGAGATGAAAGGAATGCTACAGTTTTCTAAGAAAATCTTTCTACATTTAAAAGAAAGTGATTATTGAAGTCTGCCGGTCAGTATGAATGCAGTTAATATGCCAAGTAACATATGCATTGATAATGACATGTTTTTATCAAACAGCCTCCGAAGTTTCTTAAAGCTTCACTTTTAGAAATGGAAGTCTTTCACATAAGCCTATTTTGGTAAACTTAGCATGCATTTTCAATGCCTTTCAACATCTGTCTTTTATTACCAGAGGTCCTGATATCCAGATGACAGCGGAGTATTCTGAGCGCCTGGAAAGATAGAGCTGCTCCTTATTCTTGTCTTAAATCATAATTTTATTGTGACATCAGGTTCATTTAGAAGCAACATTTTTATCTCCTGGACAGACAGGCAGCTGTTCACTCTAAAATGCAGGTTCTGTTTTCATAAATATGTTCCTAAAACTAGTAGGCGTACACAATTCATATTAAATAAAATCTTTTCTGACCTTTTAAATGTAGTGCCAGAACATGGGCAACTTAAAAGTTTAAACAGTTTACTTTTTAAAGTCACCTAATTAACATTTTATTATTAGCAAATTGATACTGTGCGTTTCGGGCCAATACACCCCATTTAAAAAATTAAATAGTTTTTCCTAATTATGCTGCACTTTAATTTCTACATTTAACACCATTTAAGTAATTGTTGATCCTAAGATTATGTACTGGCAAAAAAACTGGGATAAGACTGTAGTGTCTTTGAATACAGGGATCCACCGTTTTAAAAAGCGCTCTCTCCACTCGCCCCTGCTTTGTCAGCTGAGCCAGAGGAAAGCAAACTTGAATCACTCAGGAGTTGCAGCCAAGGTTCACCCTCCAGCCCCGAGGAAACCACAAGTCACGAAGAGGAGAAGCAGGGTCTGTAGGACTAGGGATTCTGTTCAAAATCAGGTACGAACCTGAAACTGAAATCTAGGACTTTAAGCCAGGCTTGAAGTATGCCAGGGTTTTCCAACCCTGTGTCTGCCATCCTTTGGGCTTGGAGACATGAGCATTCTTTCATGGGGAGGGCAGTAAATCATTTCACAATCCAGCCCTCAGCTACTGATACATGCATCCTTTAAAAATGCATAGCAATTGGTCAATTAAACAGAGGGCGAAACTCTCGTACGATACCACCAACAAAAGCTGTTCAAACAAAGCCTGGGAGGACGCTTTGCACGGCGGTTTTCTGCTCAGGTCACAGAGAGGGGCGACTCCTCCTTCGGGCGGGGCAGAGCGGAGCTCCCCGTCCCTCCCGGCCTCCCCGGGGCCGTTCCCCTTGAACGCGGCTCGGACCCCTCCCCAGCCGGCCCCGCACACAATGGCGCCCCGAGCGGGATCCCGCCACCGGGTCCTCGCGCCAACAGCGCGCCCCCCGCGCGGGCCGCGTTCCCGGGTCCGCGCACAAAGGAGGCGCGTGGGCTCCTCCGCGCCCCGCGCTCTCCCGGCCCGCGCGGCCACCAGGTGCCGGCGCCAGCGACCCCGCGCCCGAGCGCCTCCGCGCATCCCGGGCCGCGGCGGGGGCAAGGTGGGGCGCGGGGCCTCCAGCCGCCCGCGGCGCCCGCCGCCGGGCCTCCCAACGCCCCGGGCCTGGCCGCCGCGGGGGCACGGGCCGGGGGGCACTCACTTTCTCGATGGTCCCGGGCAGCAGGCGCTCCAGCAGCCTGCAGAGGACCACCCCATCCTTCAGAGACGCCTGCAGGAAGCCCTCCGGGTCCGAGATGGTTTTCTTGGGCGACTCCAGCACCCCCAAGGTAATGAGCCACGTAACGGTCTGCTCGGCGGAATTCATAGCGGCGGCGCGCCCGGCCTCCCCGCGCCGCGAGCCCGTCTCGGCGCCGTTCACCTCGGAGCGGCCGCGGCCCGGCCGGCTGCGCCCACCGCCCCCTCCTCCTGCTCGCCCATGGAGAGGCCGGCGACGGCGATTGGCTCGGGCGGCGCCGCGGTCCGGCCGGCTCGCGCTCCCTCGCGTGCGTCCTGGCCGACTGTCAAGTGCCTTTTCATTAGATGCACATGAACCTGCGGCGGCCGCCCGGCGCCGCCCCCGCCGCCGCCTCCCGGCTCCCAGCCGCTGCCGCCGATGACATCACCGAGAGGAGAAGAAAGACGCCGCGCTGGAGCGGCCCCGGGCCTCCCGGACCCCGACCCCCGGCCGCCCCGGCACCCGGCGGCCGCACACGCGCCCCCGCGCTCGGGCCCGCCGCCGTGCGCCCTCCGCGCCCCGGCCGGCTGTGCGCGCGCGTCCCCACCTGCGCCGCCGGGTGCCGGGCCCCCGCCCCAAGGGCCCGATGACCTCCAGCAGGCGACAGCCCGCCGGCCGGGAGGGCTCTACGGGCCTCCCAACCCGCGGGCCGCGCGCGCCCTTAACGGATGGCGCCTGGCTGGGCCCAAGCGCAGCCCCCTGGGACGCGAGCGCCCGGCCAGGCTCTTCTCGTTGTCCTGTCCCTTCTGCTTCCTTCTTCCCTCCTTGGAAGACTTGGAATCCTTTCCTTGTATTCTTAATTCATGAGTGTTTAAATTATTAAGTGCTTCCCAGAATGCTTTTTATTTTTGCCGGTTTTATTTCAAGAGGTAGGGGGTGAGGGGAGCTGCAAACGACACGCTTGCTTCTCTCCGCTACCTTGCAAGCCAATAATTACAGAACACGGTGATAATTAAGTCTGTAACCAGATGGGTCTAATTCGGGGAGGAATTGATTTTCCTGATACTGCTGCGATCCGTGGGGACGTGGACGCCCCGGAGCGCGGCGTGGCCAGTGTCACGTGTGCCCCCTGCCGGGAGGACGGTCCACAGCGCGTGTGACCTCCCCGGCCGGGAGGGGGCCGCGGGCCCACTCTCCAGGACCAGAAACCTTGGAGCGGCTCCACTTTAAACTGATGCTGATGTTTCAGACACTGTCAGAGGAAGGTCAGGAAAACAGCAGCGCCTGAACTGGGTGATGATGGGGAAGGAAGGACTGTGAGAACAGCCCAGCCTAACAGGCCGCTTGGCCAGATCGCACGGTGGGCAAGAGATGCGCAGTTGGAGACCCGGCTGCGAACCCACGCGAGGGCCAGACATAAAGCGCTCAGACATCCCACCGCCAGGCAAAGAAGAAGCTTCTTCGAATCAGGAATGACCCTGACACATGTACATGCTAAGGAAGGGAGAGAGAGTCTCCTTAAAGAAGGACCGCGAAGGTGTGCACGTGTGTCCATTTGCTCTGCCCTGTACCCGAGTGCCTTTCCTGTTTGCTTGCTGTGACTCTGCCCTGGCAACTTACAACAGCATTTGCAGTCACCCACAGAGAGCTTACTGTGTACCGGGCGCATATATTAATCTCATTAGTGACAAAAGCTAGAAAACGTGAAGATTTCAAAAAACAGAAGCTTAACTCTCCCCTTCCTCTGCTTGCTTTTGCAATTGTGAATTGCATTTATTTCCAGCTTCGAGTTAAGCGGTCCAGTTTCCTTTCCACGTGAGAACACAAAGTGATTTGAAGAGCAGTACGAACTCTGGATTATAAGGGCCACGTGTTCGGTGGTCACAGCTCCCACTTCCTGAGCTCCCAGTGTCTCCCAGCGCTTGCTCCCTGCTTCGTGTGGCATGATCACGACGACAGCCTTAGGGAGTCTCTCTCATCGTCCCCATTTTACTGGTTGCACATCCCACAAGTGGTGAAGATGGACTCAAGCCTGGGCTCTGCAACTCCAGGACCAACCCGCCTCGCCCATTGTCCAGACCGCTTCCCTATACACTTTCTGGGAAACAGGACGATTCACAGCTCCGTCAAGTTTTGTGCCCAAGGACACTTTATCAACAGAAGGGTGTTAACCCAAGAGTAGCTGTTCACTGAGATTCCTGTTTACTCTCATTCCTGCTGAATTGGACACGTGATTTAGAATACAGTCATTACAATTCCAGATTCCATTAAATTAGGTCTGGCGCTTATCATCTGGTAAACAAGAGTAAGATTCAACTTGACTCAAGGAAATGGTCCTGCAGAAAGGCAGCTCTAGGGAGTGGCCTTAGGTGGCCAGTGAACCTGGCAGCCAGTCATTGTCAGAAGGGGGACCCAGAGGCCACCTGCTATAACTGGTCTTGGAAGTCCCTGAACGTTTTAATGCTTCATAGCGACTAGTGGCATTCTTTTACCTTGGATGTACATTTATTTCAAAAAAGCTTATTTGGAAGGTATTCTAGAAAGTAACATTGTTCAAAGCTAGGCGTTTTGGGGACTTCTCTGGTGGTCCAGTGGTTAAGACTTCACCTTCCAGTGCAGGGGGTGCGGGTTCGATCCCTGTTCGGGGAGCTAAGATCCCACGTGTCCTGTGGCCAAAAGACCAAAACACAAAACAGAAGCCATATTGTAACAAATTCAATGAAAGGCTTTAAGAATGGTCCACATCAAAAAAAAAAAAAAAGCTTAAAAATAGCTAGATGTTTTTAAGGGTTTAATTGAGCTGAGTATCCAAGGTGAGCGTTTGGTTAAACTTAACATTTTTCCAAGCTCCTATTACAGAGGACACGTGCTGTGGAGGAGAACTCATTGTTCTGGTGGGCTGGCATGAGTGAAGGTTGTTGTTGGCGGAGGACTCTGGCCTTGCCTCTGGAGGCCCTTTGGCGCACCTAAGGATCATGGAAGGGCTCTCAGGTCAGGCGTGTGTCCTTCGCTTCCCTCATTTCTCACGAGGGAACGTCAGCCTCATGTCCAGCCTGGCCGGCTGTTAATGCCCAATGGCCACACGCAGGCCATTGTTAGGGGTTCACCCACACATAGCCCCAAACCAGGAGCTACCCAAGGCTCAGCTGAACTGTGCTAACTCAGTTGGAGGACGGTGTTACAAAGATGTTAAAATCTACCCCAGCCTGAAGCCAGACGGACAGATGGCTGTTTACCTGGCCATCACACCCTGTAGAGTCGCTTTTGTTGAATTGGACCATCACCTGGATTGAAAAATGCAGCGAGAAGCAGTCCCATGAAGCTCACTCTATCTAATGTAAGTATTACCAACGGCGCTCAGTTTCTCAAGCAGTGTACTATTTATTTGGCATATATATGGTCAAATGCTAAAAATTAAAGATGCAAGGCAGGAAAAAATATTTTCTGAACATATATAGCTGAGAAGTTACTCAGGACAGGAAGACATTTACAGATATAGTAATCATGACACGTAGTGTCAACAAGACGCGTATCCTGGTTTGGGTCCTGGAGCAGATCCTGCGCCACCTTGGGTGAACATAGTTCACTTGGGGAGTGATCCCAGGGAGGACAAGTGAAGAAAAGGAGAAAGTGACCCAAAGGTGTGCAGTGAGCAGCGGGGCTCAGCTCGCCCGAGAGCCTTGAGAAGCAAAGTGGATGCTGTATCAGTCAGGGTTCCCCAGAGAAACAGAACCAGTAGGATATGTATAAAGACATTTGTTACAAGGAATCGGCTCACGTGATTACAGAAGCTGGCAAGTCGAACCTGCAGGTGGACCTGCAGGCTGGAGACGTGCAGGAAGCTGACGATCAAGCTTGAAGACATCTGTTGGAGAGTCTTCCCTTACCTGGAGGAGGACCGGTGTTTTTGTTCTATTCAGGCCTTCAACTGATTGGGTGAGGCCCACCCATATTGGGGATGGCAATCTGCTTTACTCAGTCTACCAATTCAAACGGTAATCCCACCCAGCTGTGGCGCCAGAGGTGCGTTAACAAGCTGGCTACCGCTGGCGGCATGTGGGTCCCTCTGGGGCCCTGTATGAGATTCCTGCTGTGACCACAATAAAGCACCACAAACCTGGGGGCTCAAAACAACAGAAATGGATTCTCTCACAGTCTGGAGGCTGGAAGTCTGAGATCCAGGTGTGGGCAGGGTGGGTTCCTTCCGAGGCTGTGAGGGAGGACCTGCTCCAGGCCTCTCCCAGCTCCTGGTGGTGGCGGGCCATCCCTGACCTTCCTTCCAGCTCCTGGTGGTGTCAGGCCATCCCTGACCTTCCTTCCAGCTCCTGGTGGTGGCGGGCCATCCCTGACCTTCCTTCTTGGCTTGTAGGTACGTCCCTCCAATCTCTGCCTCTGTCTTCACATGGCATTCTCTCTTTTTCTGTGTCAGTGTCCAAATTTCCCTCATTTTATAAGGATACCAGTCACCAGATTAGGGCCCATTCTCATCTTAACTTGATTACATCTGCAAAGATCCTATTTCCCAATAAGATCACATCCGGAGGTACTGGGAGTTAGGACTTGATCATATCTTTTGGGAGAGAAAATTCAACCCACAATAGTACCCTTTGAGAAACCAGGACCATGCCTGCCCCAGACATATCCCACCAGAGGAAGGGGAAGCCACGCTTCCTATCACGTGACATCAAAGCAAGTACGAAATCTCAGAATCTCTCTTTACATGATGCTCGGATCCATGGGAGATTCTGGTGGTGTCATCCCGATCCGTCCATGATGAATCTCCCCGTCACTGTCATTCGTTTCAGGAGCTGTCAATAATTCCCTCCCAGATTCCATATTTCACTTGGAATTGCCATGGCTTGACGTCCCTCCGATACTTATCAGCTGGAATTCCGTAAAGAGGCCCTGTTATTATACAGATAGTTCCTACAGGACAGAGAAGATAAACGCTTATTTTCTGCGTTTACCAGTTTTCAGGGTCATGGGTTGGTGCTGTAGCATCCTGCCGAGGAGACCGATGATTTTTGTAAGTTTCATTATGAATTACGGATCTTGGAAAACATACTCGATGCGTTTCAGCTTATCTCCCTCTTCCTAGGTTCTCTTTTTTGTACGTTTGGGAGATGCTTCTCCGGGAGTCTCTCACATTTCTGAATATCTGAGCAGAAGTAGTGATAGCTTTTGTTCTATCTTGTCAAGCGTGTTTTAGACCAAAC